CAAAATCATACGGATGTGATCTCAATACAGCTCATATTAGTACGTATACGTAGCTTTTAGCACGTATAAACTCAGAGCGTACGATCCCGTCTCCTTCCGCTGGTCTTGATAAATATTTTTATATTTTTGCAAAAAAATGAAGCCAAAATTATTACACATTAGGTTTTAAATTAGTATTTAAGCAAAAAAAATACTAAAAAAATTCTAAACATTCTATCAATTGAGGAAGGTGAGATTAAAAGTCTCAAAACCTATTTGATTGTCCCTTAAATTTGAGGAATTTTAGAGACATCTTCACATTTTTGATTATAGGAAGACATAAAGAGAAGTTTGATAGTATTATCAGAAAAACCTTTAAATTTCATCAATCTAGCTTTAATATTTTTAGTCCCGACTCCCTCAATTAAATAAACGCTCAGATTTAGATAAAATTTTTGATTTTTATTCCCTTAACCATTAATTTGCGGTCCCTAATGTGTATATAATTCTGTTTTTTGTAAGGAATATATAAGTGCAATGATGACGGTATTTTTTGTATCTTAAATAAATATGTTCTAACAGTATGCGAATAACTATTTTATTGTAAGTTAATTTAAATAGTAAATTTTGCCAATAAGATTGGTTTATTTGGCGGAGAGGCACTAAATATTAATGAGGAAAAATATTTAAAGATAAATTTTTAAAGTGAAATTGAAATAGTAGCAGTGTTTCTTTTTTAATGGCCTTAAAAGGTGAAAAAACAATGATGTTTTGAGATTTTTAAAATATATTCAGCCATTTACAGTAGAAATTGTTGTGTGTATCACTATGTACATATGAAAACTTTGTTGTTTAAAAGTTGAAAATCCTCTCTTGGAATGTGGATTAAGTTAAAATATCCTATATTTCTTGAAAAATTTTAACTAATGTTAAAAATTTGCATTGCTGTTACGTTAAGTGCATAAAATGTTATTTTTCATTCCCTTTTTGAGTTGCACAAGTTGAAATAATATTCCTATCAAACTATCTGGATGTGTTAAACAGCTTTCTATATTTGTTATTACCATTTGATTGATGTATAAAATTAAATTGCTGTTTTCTAAATCAATGCGTGCTTCTTTCAGACACACTAAAGGCTCTTTTAATTTTCTAAAAACACAAATTCAACAAGAGATACATTAAAGGCACTTCTTACGCTTAAAATCACAAAACTTAAAAGAAAAATTGAAGGTTTTTCTAACGTTCTAAAATCAGAGAATTCAACATTAGACTTAAGCTAACGAAGGCTTCGCCAATAAAGGCTTATTGCGTTTAAGTGAAAAAATTCAATAAAAGACTCATTAATTGCTATGCTAACGTTCTAAAATCATAGAATTCAACAAAAGTCATATTAATGGCTAGCTGCGTTTAAAATCACAAAATTCAATGAAAGACTCTTTAAATACCGTTTTAGCGCTTTAAAACCATAGAATTCAACAAAAGACACAATAAAAGCTCTTCTTGAGTTTAAAATTACAGTTTTTAACAAAGACATGTTTAAGACTCTCCTTTCTTCCTAAAATCATAGAATTCAACTATTGACAAGTTCGAAAACCATAGAATTTGCCCAAAGACGCAATAAAGGCTCTTTTTAAGCTCTAAAATCCTATAATTCAACAAAAGACACATTACAGTTTCTGCGCTCTAAAATCATAGAATTATACAAAAGATACATCTAGGGCGCTTACGTTAAAATCATAGCAATCAACAAAAAACATTTCAAGGGCTTTTCTTACGTTTAAAATGACAAAATTTAACAAATGACACAATAAGGGCTCTTTTTACGATTTAAAACCCCATAATTTAACAAAATAAATATTAAAGATTCATTTCACGTTCTATAGTCATAGAATTTGCCAAAAGACACAATAAAGGCTCATTTTACGGTTTAAAATCTCATGATTCAAATCTCATGAAGACACGACCCTTCTATGGCTCTAAAATCGATGAACGATTTTCACGCACGAAGTGCCCAGTCATATTGGCACAAAGGTTTGATATCCTAATATTTTTTTTAATATGGCAATTAATTATTGCTAAGTGCTAACTACTGAAATCAGACACTTACTTTCTCTGAATAAATTTTTTTACGAAAGATTTCTTTTTTGCTGTCAAAATATAGCCCTATGATTAATCAGGATTTTTATGATTTTTAGGAATTTTAGGATTTTCAGGATTTTTATGATTAATCAGGATATTTTAATCAGGAGTGAAATCTAAAGTTTTGACATCATAATATCTATTTCCGTTTTTTTGTTTATTCCGAATTTTTTAAACTATTTTCACGCTGTTTTAAAAATCATTTATCCAAATTAATGCAAGAAGTAGTTAAAAAATTTTTATTATTTTATTGAAACATTTTTGGTTGAAAAAACTTTTTTTATTGCAAAATAAAGAAAATTTTTCATAATGTGAACTATGCTATTTTAAATGATCAAATTCAAAATTTGAACAAAATTAGTTGAAGAGTTTCTGAATTTCAGAACTATGGAATTTCAAAAAAGTAATATTTTTTAAAATTTCAATTTCTGAAGGCTGATTTGATTCAAATTTTTGATTTTTCCATTTAAAATTACTTAGTTTAATATTATAATAAGATTTGTGCACCTTTCATTTCAAAATGTTTCTTTGACTATTCTAAATAAAATACTATACAATTCTTAAATATTATTTTTGGCATGGAACTATATTTGGAAAAACAAATTTTATAACAGTGAGAAAAATTTTAATTATTGTTCATCGATTAGGTTTTTACACCTTTTATTTATTTAGTAATTGAATTTATTTAACTCAACTATTATTTAACTCAATTTCATGAATTTTAAATTATAATTATGATTTTTTTGTAACTAAATTATCGCGAGGTTTTCTTTGTATAGTGGATTATGGGCGAAACTTTATTTCAGAAAAAATATATGGGGATAGAGGATAAATATTTGGCCATTATTTTGTCTATCTTTAACTTCACTTCTATTTATAGGGAAATTAAAAAAATGGAAAAAATAAACATGTTTATTGTCATTGCTATTTTAATTTCAAAGCAAAGTTCTAGTTTATTTAAATGATTTTGTTTACCTATTTTTTTTCTATGTATATTCTTTCTTTATTTCATTTTAGAACAGTCGTTGAACAGCCGACCCGATTTTCGGGTTTGTAACCAATGTTAAACTCCGTAGTCTTGCAATTTTGAACCCAATCCAGAAGACAATAGAACACTTGGATCAAGTATTGGTAAAAATTTGCCTTCGTGGAGGACTTTTTTATGGAACTAACATAAATTTGCGTTAGATGGAGATGAAAACCATTAAAACCTCCCATGATTAGCCTGACGGCAAGGAGACTTTTAACTGTCTACTACTGAAGATGTTTTACGTCAGCACAGTGGTCGGTGCAAGACGGGTGCGGAATTCGTATCGGCAGCCATTGCTCGGATACTAGCCCTGTTCACCTCATTGGAAGGCGAACGCTCTATCCTCTGAGCCACCACGGCTCTCTGTATATCCTCTGCATATACATTTACTGAAAAACGTTTGAACAATTTTTTAAAGCAATTCAAGTGTTTTAGCCAAGGAAAAAAGGCTGCAGTTTAAATGCTTGAAACAAAACTTTAATTTTCAAACTAACATACTGGCTATTAAAGCCGTCAAATATTTTAAGTAATTAAAATTGTTAATTTTCTAAATTAATTAATAGATCTATTAATTAATTTTGCAATTATTAATAATTTTTAAATATTAATTTAAATTTTAATTAAATGAAAAGTTAATTTTTTAAGAAATTTTAATTAATCAATTTTAAACTAATTTTTTAATATTTTCTTAAAATTGTTTTGTTTTAATTGCCAATAGGCACAGAATTTTCAAGCTAGGAAAAAAAAATCATTGAAACTATTTATTTTTGTCGTTTTTCAGATTTTTGTAAGTTTAAACAATGCAACGTTAGAGTAACATTTTAAATTCAATGCTTTTTCCTTTCTTGAAACCATGATTCGTTACCACATTTTGCGCCATTTTTTCATATTTTCTATAAAAGAGTCTCTGACTAAAGATCGAAAAACATTATCTAACAGTCATGAACTGGGCTAGTATGTTGATGATAAATGTATTTTTGACCCCCATGTAGTGCATTATTCATGTTGTTGTTTTTTTGTCACTTTTTTATATTATTTTCTTTCTTTTAATTATTTTTTACGAATCTTGAATGATATTTTTCATTTCAAGAGCATTCCTTGTAAATTAACTTTTTCTCTATAAATTAGTGTAAATTGTGCATGGAATCTTACTGTTCTAACTATCATTTAATTACTGGGTTGATGTTGAACAGAGTATTTCGAGGTATAAAACAAAAAGTCAATCTTTCACTTAAAAAAATTAAAAAAAATAAACACTTGATTAAAATAACACAATGCAATTTCGATATTCTTGAAGATTAACCAAAATTACTGAATTCCTACTAATCTTTATCACTTTATTTAATTCATAAATTGCATATTTAATTTTAATTATTTACTTATTTTTTACTAAATTTATAAATACAAGTTACGATTTATAATTTTTTATTTTTATATAGATAAAAAAAAGACTAATATAAACATCTTTTCAAAAAGTTTTAAAGGCATTATTGTTCTTTTAATGTAATTTTTAAAGGTTTTTAGAGAGTTTTTTTTATTTGTATTTTTTAAGGTTATTTTTAAAATCTTTTTAGGTTATCAACTGGTCATAGAAGGTTTTTATAAAAATGATTATTAAAATCTTTTTTTTTCTCATATAATGAGAAAACTAGCTTTAACACATTCCGCGTATTTTTATGCAGAAAAAAAAAAGAACCGTCAAAATACCCTTTAATTATTTCTATTTCTTAATAAATAAACAGCTGTTAAACAGCTCATTGTGTCGCTGCTAATAAATGTCCTTCTAACTGAATCCTTGCTATCACAAAATATTTAGTATACTTTCTTATCCTTTTCTTATCAAGAATATAACTTCTTAAAATTTTCTTATCAACAACATACCTGAGTGCAAGAAGCCTTCATAACTCATGATTGTTACAAGAGAATGCAATCCATTTGGATTTATATTGAATTGTTTCTTATAATTAAATACGCAATAACCTTATCATATGACTCATCTGATGAAGGTAATCTTTTCTATTAATTAATTATTAAACTATTGATGAATACGATGATTATAAAATAGATCTGCTAGATAACTATTTATTGATGATGAATACCATGATTAAAATTGTTGATAAAATAGATCTGCAAATTTTTGGTAGATAACCATTAATTAAATTATAATTTATACAATGATTATTATTATTAATAAAATAGATCTAGTACATAATGGTAGATAACAATTAATTGATGATGATTGCAATGATTGCAAATAATGATGAAATAGATCCGCTAGATTATGGTAGATAACCATTAATTGATCGATAATGAATACAATGATTACAATTGTGGTTAAAATTGATAAGATAGATTATGGTAGATAATAATTTTTTAATCGATGATGAATACAGTGATTGCAATTGCGGATAAAATAGATCTGCTAGATTATGGTAGATACAGCGCTTTATACCAGCGCTTTCCAATTTTTTCAGCAATGGAACCCTAAAGGATCGACCTAAAATAAATCCCGAGACTTAAATAAATTTCATTAGCAACTACGAACATATTAATCAACGAAAAGACTATTAATTATTTTAAATATATATTAAAGATTGAAATTTTATTAATTATTTTGAAAATATTTAATGATTGAAAGAATTTTTTCTTCATATCTGTTAATCAATTCAAGTCCTAAAATTTGGTTTATATCAGATAGTTGAATTTACAGGTCTGGAGCAGAATCTAGTAGAGTTCAAATTTAGTTTCATTTTTATGCATAAACTAAAAAAAAAAAAAAAAAAAAAAAAAAAAAAAAAAAAAAAAAAAAAAAAANAAAAAAAAAAAAAATGAATGAGCTAAAATGTGATTTTTGTTGAAAAAGGGCAAAAATAAAGATTGCGAAAGTTTATCAGAGTAACTTTAATGTTAAATTTGGTTATTTTAATACGAAGCAAAATATTAATGCAATTTTTCATAAATGCATATCCTCTTTGTTATTCATCTAATATATTTTTAATAGAATTTCTTTCTTCACAAGCATTTTAATAAAATAAGTTCATAAAAATAACGGAAATATTGATAACGGATATTTCCGTTAATCGCTTATAAATTTCATAACAGGTTTCGAAAATCATAATAAGAAGTTCCTAACGATTGGAACTCTTTTGACGCTTTCATGAAATATCCGCGGAACACCATTTGGAACCCGCTGCTTCATACCCTCCAACAAGAAATGTGGAGTCTGATTTGGAAAAATTTGCTAGACACTGACTCTAGTGGGTCAAAAGTTAGGTCCTATAGTTCAAGAGAAAGTCCAATTTCTTGATCTTATAAAAATTATTCAGACAAATATTTATAATTGGTATGAGAACGAAACATTATTCAAATGGATAATTATTTAAATTACAACGTATCGCGAATTTAATTCATCCCATTTGAACCTTTTTAAGCCTATGTTTGACTGAAATATTTGAAAAGTACATAAATTACAAAGTAAAATTTGTTTAGCTCAGTTAAAAAGTTAATTAAAAAGATATGCAAATGAATTACATGGATCATATTTGTAACAGTTTTCTAGTTCCAGAGCATTTCCTAAGGAATGCTTTTTTCCTAAAGAATGCGAATGTGCATTATATTGATATTTAGCTCTTTTCTTATACGATAAAATGCTTTCAATAATTTCAATAATTCATAGAAACATATTTTTAAATTAAATTTCTTAAAACATTATGTTACAGTTATGAAAGGTAATTTAAAAATGCCTTTAACTCTAATTGCGCATAAAGCATTAAAATATATAATTTAAAATTAAAATTTACTTAGTAATAATATACACTGGTGTCCAAAAGTTAAGCATACTTTTACACTGGAAATGAGTGCAAAATTATGTTTAACATTTGAACATCAGTGTGAATATATTTTCCGAAAACTTAGTGAAAAAATTTTTACAGTATTAGTCGGAGTTGGAGTCTTGTTTTCCAAAAAAATCGGAAATGGAGTCACAATCTAATATTTGATTTACTGATTACACAGTTTTGCCTCCAAATACTCCAATATTTTCCGTAGTTTCAGAAAATATTCTTTCTAATTCAAATGTGATAAATTAAATACGTGACAAGTTATAACTAATTTAAATAATCATTACAATAATCTTTTGAGAAATATTTCTGCACTCCGATATTTCCCGTATTTTCAAAAAATACTTTTTTCTAATTCAAATGTGATAAATTAAATGCGTAATAAGCTATAATTTAAGTAAACATTACAATATTTATTATTAAAATGTTTTTGTTCACATACTAAGAATTAAAAAAACTTTGTTCGCCACCACTTATAAATAATTTAACAGATAGATGAAAGGTCAGATAGAAAAAGTCGTATTTTTAAAATTTGATTTCTCAGGAACTATTCGATTAATTTCACTCAGCTTTTGCATTTTACAATGTAAAATTACATACTATAAAATGATGGGAAAAATTTTATGCCATACAATTCAAAAATTCTTTGACTATTATTAAATAAAATTATAAAGAATAATAAATGTCTTTGGATAAGCGAATTTTGTAATTGCNTTTGATGTTAGAATTGAGGATTTTTTCTCCTTCCGTATTTTAAGCAAAATGATCCAACCAAGTTCAGAAAAGAATGTTACCTAAGTTTCTAAAAATCATGAATTGTATTTTATTATTCTTAAAGCTTGCAACTTTTTTTATTGTAGTTTGTTTTTCTGGTGGAATTATTTAAAACATTGAAAAAAAAATTATTAAATAAAAAATAATGACGTCACCCAAAGATTGTGAAATGGATCGTTCAAAAAGTTAACCGTCAGTGTCACGAATATTTATAATATTTTAGAATATAAGTCTTTTTCATTAATTATTCGCAATTAAGTATGTTTCGTAAACTGCAATTTTCCTTCTTTATATTTGAAAAAGAAAATACTTCTTAATAAGATAACACGTGTTTCGCGATGAAAAGATTATCTTATCAGCTTCTGAGAAAAGTTAAGTAAATAACAAGAAGATAAAATCCTTTTTTTTTCTGGCTTTTACTCTCTCAAATCATTGAAAATTTTACAACTCCTTCTTCGTGATGAAACAAAGAAAAAGGTGACAAAATTGCATGAATTTTTAAATTTATTAATCTTTACAGTCCTCAACACTTGTGACCCGACGGGGATATTTTAGGCTCTCACTCAGTTTAAGCTGTTAAGCGGGTTAGACCAACACCTTCTAGAAAATCGAGAGCCTCAGCACGGATAAATTTAGAAGTCAACAGACATAAACTGCGCAGTGGAGGTTAAATAAGAAAAATGTCTCTACGTTTGGGTTACTAAGCTGAGTAGTGACGGGAAATACGAAAGATGTCATTACGTATAGACTACTAATGGATCAAATTTCATCCTTATGGTAAAAATCCTCATGGTAACCCGTGGTGATGCCTTTTTCCTTCTAGGAGGCATTGGTTTGACATACGTCAGACCAAATTTCTATTGCAGTTTGCACGTACAAGCAGCTTCGTGAAAATTTCTAAATATGCACGAGTAAATTAAAACCTTCAGTAAATTAACCGCATAATTCGAGTATACCTAATCAAAAATATTAAATTTTGAAAAAAAAATTAAATTAAAAAAATATTTTATAGCATAATTTTTTTTATCTTGCTAAGTGGACGATGTACCTTAAATGGTTGGGAATTATGGTATATACCAGAGTTGGGCAAAAATGTTCGACTACATTTTTAGATTACAGTAATCAAGATTACAGTTATTTTAGATAACAGTATTTGTAATCATGATTACAAGAAATCATAATTTTGATTACAGCTGCAATCGTGATTACAACAATTAATTACAGTAATCAATTATAGTAATCAATTACTTGTAATCATGATTACAATTTTGATTACAGTAGTAATCATAATTAAAATAGTTGATGACAGTATAATCAATTACTTGCAATCACGATTACAACTCACCATATTTTTGATTAGAGTTGTAACCATGATTACAATAATAGATTACAGTAATCGGTACAGTATTCAATTGCTTGTAATCTTGATTATAATTCACCATAATTTTGATTGCAATTGTAATCATGTTTCCAAGTAATTGTGATTCAAAGTGATCAAAACAAAAACGATTACGGGTAATTATGATTACAAGTAATCATATACGATTACATGTAATCACGATTAAAAGTAATTGTGATTATTTCGAATCAAAATATATGATTGCAAGTAATTACGATTGCATACTAGGTAAATACATCATGTAGATATGCATGGGGAAACATATTTTCATGTCTGTAGAATTTACGCAAGCATGTACATACAATTCGTGATTTCTATATAGTATATACACAATGTCTGTATGCACAAACGCTGTTTTCACATACAATATACGCTCATAATATGCATATACAAAACATGTACGCATTTATGTTAGCTTTTATGCAAATGCGATGCTTTGTATGTTCGTATGAGAATATAATGTATGTACATATACATGCATTTATGTACGCAAGTACATACATTGTATGAATACACGGTAATAACATGCATATACAATGTACGTATGTTTATAAAATGTACGTATGCATGTACAATTTACGTATTTACGAACAATATATGTATGAGCGCTGTTTATAAGTACACCATATGTACATAGTTGTATATATAAAATGCATGAATGTATGCATGTACTACGTTTACATGTACATACATATATAGCTTGCACATGCATATACTTTATTAAAACATATGTACATGTAATGTAGGGATCTACAATAAAATACTTGTATGTCACTTAAAGTACAGTGCTCCAAAAAAACGTACAACCCGGATAACTTTTGATCTAATGATCGGAATTTCACGTTCTAGGATTCATTCTTAATGGTTCAAAGGGGTGACCTCAAATATGCTAATTAATTAGTGTAGACAATATTTTAAGTTACGAAGCCCGACACAAAAACGCACTTTCTCTGAATAAACAACCTTTTTTTTTGACGGACTTTGATTTCTGATC